CCATCAACAAATTGCAGAAGCTAGAATATCTTGACTTGTCTTCCAATAACCTATTTTATTTACCTAGAGATATTCTTGAGTTGAACATACTCAATACTGTCTATGTCAACAACAACTCATTCTCCGATCGAGAGATTGAAACAATTAAATCACTCTTCAACATAAGTCATCCTAATATTATTTTGCGTTTTTAATTAATGTATATTTTGATTGACTATATTAATAAAAATCTATTGAATGAATCAGATAAGAATAGCATTTTTTCACACTTTTTAATAAGATTTTGATATAACTGACATTAATCCTAAGTCAATTTTCGATTAAAATCATGCATCATCATTTGATCTTATATATAGAAAAGGTTAGAGAAATGAGAAGAGAATGTCGACAGTGATTTAAAAGGAATTAGCAGTGAGCATAACAATAAAAACATGAATGAATACAAGATGGTTCTTCTGCTTATCATCGTATGTTGGTGGTGTACGATGACAGAGTGCAATGTAGAAGTACCAATAGAACAATTGCGATCACACATTATCGGTGGATACAAAAGTCAGTTCATTTCATCTTGTTTATAGAATATAATTTATTATTCTCCCATATATTATAGATATCGAAACGAGAAATGGCAAGTCAGCTGTTGATTGTAAACAATATGCAAATGACTATGAAATTTTGTATGATTTTTCATTTCGCATCATGATCAATCCTATGTTACATTATTCGGATAGTAACATTGCTACAATGGACAATACGAATACTTTTGTCTCTTCACTCACACTCATAGATACAGGTAATATGATTCCAGAAAGTATATTTTGCTTAAAAAAACTTGATCAATTGACTATCATCAATATGAATTTTGCAAATGGTAATAGAGTTACTATCTTAATTTAATGAATTAATAATACAGATTGTATATTTCTACTAGGTATTATACCAGATACGTTAGCAAATTTACAGCGGCTATACACGCTCAACATCTATAACTCATCGATCACCAATTTAACCGATCAATTCGCATCTTTGACTCGTCTTTATTCGCTAAACTTGAATAATTGTTCACTTTCTCAAATATCCAGTCTCAGCACCATGCCAGATTTACGACATGTTTATCTTGAAAATAATCGTTTATCGAAAATCGATGGATTTCGAAGCGACGTCGATTGTCTGCATATTTCCGATAACTTGTTTACTGAGATACCTACTTTCACAACTCCAACCAGTCTTGCGATACTTCGTATAAATAACAATCCTCTCAAAGATGTAAAAACGCTAGATTCTTTCACTAATCTCGCAGTTCTTGAACTTCGAAATACGACACTCTCATTCATTCCAACTACCATCGATAAACTTCAGAGACTCTCACACGTTGATTTATCTCATAACAAATTGGCTTATTTACCAAGAAGTATTTTCAAATTAAAATCTCTTCAATATCTCTATATCAACAGCAATATATTCTCTTTGGATGAAATTAAAATAATACAAACGGAATTTAGTAAAACTCATCCAAATATTACTTTACACATTTAGTTTTCTGTATTAGTAATAACTATTTATTTTATTTCTATTTAAATCGATGAATTATTTGAAAAAAAAATCATATAAAAATAATAAAATATGTTTCAGTTTATTCAGATTGTTCCAATGCTGTTGTTAAAGGATGTTCAGCAAGCCAACGATGCGATGGTCGTTTAAACAAATTTCGTTGTAGACAATGATAAAGTAAATTTTGGACACGAGTAGAACGAGTACGTCGAACACCAAATGGTGCTCGTGAACTTGGTCGCATAGGTGCTTTTCCATAAGTCAAATAATATAGAATAGCACCTATTGAGTATATATCAACTTTTGATGTCACAGGTGCTTCAGCTGTTAAACATTCAGGCGCACTGTAACCACTATGATTACGTACTGGACTTTCATATTGTCTAAATTTAATAATAAGACTAAAATAATTATTAAAATAATATTTCACGTACCCTGCTGATCTTATTTGTGCTATACCGAAATCAACAACTTTCAATTGTGATCCAAAAAATATTAAATTAGCTGGTTTGATATCACGATGAATCTATAATAATAATAATCATTGTCTTATCGATAAGTAATTAGAGATCATCTTTTTTTTTGTTTTTTCACTTACGATATTATATTGACGAAGCCCAATAATAATATTAACTAATTGAATCCATATATGTATTCGATCTTTTGTAGAAATATAATCAGAACCAGATCTAGCTCGTTTTAAATGTGTTCCATGAAGATTTTCAACTCGATCAAGTAATGTATCATTTCCTAATTCCATAGCGATAAAAGCTAAACCTCGTCGTAAATCTATAGCAGATCCATATATAGTTACAGCACAATTTTCTGCATGACGTATGATATACAGCATTTTAATTTCATTTGCAAAGCATGCGCGAATTTTAGCTGGATTAAGATTATTTCGACGATTACGAAGATCGAATACTTTCACGGCAGTCCGATAACCTACAAATCAAATATCAGAAGTTTTTCTTTCATATAAGAAATTCTCGCTGTTTATTGACTATTATCGATATACTCGACATCGTCATAAATATAATTCATAATAACTATTTGAATATTTACCTTGTGATGTGATCGATGACCAAACCGTTGCAAAATTTCCAGTGCCTCGTCTATTAATTAAAGTGTATAATTCATCTTCAATACGAAAGGTTTGATGTTTAGATCTCATGTCATTAGAAGGCATTCGACGAGTAGAATCCAACATGAATTCTAATTCGAAAAGACTTCATTATCATCATCAAGATCAATGAATACTTACTTATTTATTGCTTGTGTTTTGTACACTTCATGTTAGGTATTAACCATTTATGTATACATATTATTATAAGTAAATAGCATAAGGTTATGCTTCATCGATAACGAACGAAACAAAAATACTATACATACACGTGGTTTTGTGAATGAATCTACGATTTGTTTTTTCTTACAATATACAAATGATTGGAAATTTTCTAAAAGCAATCATAGTTCATACTTTATTAATAAGTAATCTGTTTACATCAAGGTGAGGAATATTTTGTTTTAGAAAAAAAAAAACTTACAATCTGGTGTAGTGTGAGTGTAGATGGCGTTAACGGCGAATGTGTGCATTGTATAGTACTGATATCTATGTAGTATTTAGTGCTCTTTGTATATATATTCTTAAAGAATTTATTTAGTCACATGAGAAGTTCATCTGTTTCTTACTCAGGCAGACAAACACAAAAAAAACGCGTAAAAACGGTGAAATTTTGACAAAAATAAAATCGAGAAAAGCGCGTTAATCTTTGCAATTTAACGAGTGATGATATTGCATTAAATCGTACAAAATAACGCGTTCTTACGAAGAAAAGTTGAATTCTGATGATTTCATATGATTCTAAATCAGCTGTTTCCTCTTTGGTATGATTGAACTATGATTAATATGATGACACTCACATTTCTTTTTCGAATCTAGATCGTTAGATGCGACTATATCTGATAACTAGAACTGCTCAATCCTACCATAATCCGACGTATTTGGTAAGTGAATAGCGACAAAAATTGTTGTATATCATTGAATTATAGTATTAAGTATATTGTCGAGTCTGACAGCTGGATTTTATTAAATATTTCACTCGTTCGATACAGTGGCGTAGCCAGGATTTTTAGACTAATGGGCAAACTTCACTTGCATCGAAAAAAAACGATGGGCAAGATTTTTACTGATAGGCTAAAACTTTTTGGCCCAGCAAAGTACTGATAATGTAGAAAAAACACAAAAATTTGAAATGAGGTTATTTTAATCAGACATGCATTAAACTCTGATCTTAAGCTTGAGTCAGGCGTATTTTTAGTCTATTTTAGTGTCTCTGTCTATAACATTGATGTTTCAAATTCAAATTCCAAAGCCAGAAAGACGAGAATTCATTTTTGCATATAATTTCAATATTTCATCTGAATTTATATCGAGATCTATATGAATATTAGCAGAAGCAAGTCCATTAAGCCTGTTTTGTTTCATTGTAGACCGACAATAACTTTTAATTCTCGATAATTGACTGAAACTTCTGTTAGCAAAAACTGCTGATACAGGCAATGTTACGAAGAAAATTAATAAATAACGAACATTTGGATATAATGCACTGGCTGTGTCTTTAATTACTTCGTTTAACCAATTTTTTTATTCGGTCATTATCCATTTTAAGCAAATTATTGTATGTTCATCCAAACTTGCAAATAAAATACAAAAAGCGATTCTTGTCTTCTTTTTTTAATTCTTCACAGAAAGAAAAAGTAAAGAGTGTATGTGTGCTTCAAATGGAAGAAAAAGATATAGTTACACTTTAATTCAAAAATAAATGAACAATTTTGAAAAAGTAAAATTTCAATTGGCAAAAGCTTATTTATAAAAATTACAATGGGCAAATCTCCAAATGAAATGGACAATTGCCCATTTGCCCCCCCCCCTCGCTACGCCACTGGTTCGATACGTTCTAATAATTTCTATTTGACTTGGAACGTTGACTTACTCATTTCACTAAGATAGGAGAATTTATTCTGCGTCATTCATTCTATTTATGAGTTATATTATCTTTTATATCTTAAATTTATCATATCTCGCTTATGTTGTTGTTTTTAGTTCAATAATAATATTGACGAACTCAAATGACGTTTTAACAGAGCGCACTCCGAGTGCTAATATGACTAATATTGAGGTAAAAGTTTGTGTGACAGAACTGAGTTCTCGATGAATCATTGGCTTTTTTTTCTTCTCTTTTTACATGACTACGTTTGTTAGACGGCAAATAAGATACTATATGGCTTGTAATGTCGATGTAAAAAAAGAAAAAGAACAGAACGACAGAAAAGTTCGGGTGCGTTGTGATAGTATAAAAGGAAAGAGAACGATGAGGACAACAGAGAGATTTTTAATAAGAAAGTTATTTTTTTTCAAGGTTAATTAACAAAAAGAGACAGATAATATGGCAGCATCTAGAGAAGATTTAACAAATATTGAGTTTGATAATGATTGGAAATGTTATTGTCAACAAGCGAATGAAGAAATGAATGAAGAAAATATGGTTGCAGCTATACATCATGGCGATATAAATCATTGTTCGTCTTTAATAGATTTACCACATATTATCAATATAAATCAATCAAGTCAATTTAAAGAAACAAATTCATACAAATGGTGGTATTACAAACAATTCGATTGGACATCGACCAATAAACAAATTCATCTTATGTTTGAATCCTATGATAATCTAAATAACAGCTCTATTTCAGCAGATATTGCTGGCACTATATGGTTAAATAATACAAAAATATTTTCTGGTTTATTCACATCATTAACTAATTCTATTGACTTGTCTTCAAAATTATTATATAGTAAAAATATTGATGAACAAACTCAAACAAATATTCTAGTCATTTCTTGTTCAAATTCTACTCTTTCTCGTCATGCTCGTCTTATTCTACATGGTAAAATAATTTGTGCAACAGGACAAGTAAACGTCAGTGAAGAATTTTCAAGCAGAAGTAAAACTCAAGAACAAAATGAAAATGAAATTATGGATTATACAATTAGTCTTGATGATACTAATGGACGTATTGGTGTTTTATTTAAATCCAAACGGAAATACAAAGCACCTTTAAAATCAATTTCATCATCACCACAATTTGTTCCATATGAGCAGAATGAAAGGCAAATCAATGAAAATAAAGAAGAATTAAAAGATGATCTTCTCATACCTCGTTTAGCTATTTTAATACTAACTGTTGGTACGCGCGGTGATGTCCAACCATTTATTGCGTAAGTTAAATTGTGTTCTATAAATTTTGTAAAAACTCTAATTTTGTAAATTTTAGTCTAGGTCAAGCACTTCGAGCATATGGTCATCGTGTTCGATTAGCCACACATGAAACATTTCGATCATTTGTTCGTGGTAATGGTCTGGAATTTTATCCATTAGGTGGTGATCCAGTAGATTTAATCTCCTTTATGGTGAAAAATGCCGGTATTATTCCTTCAATGGACAGTATTATGGCAGGAGATGTTGGCAAAAAAACGTCGAACTATATCTGATATTCTTGCTTCTACATGGCAAGCATGTATAGCAAATGATGATGAAACAGATATGCCATTTACAGCTGAAGCAATTATTGCTAATCCACCATCATTTGGTCATATTCATTGTGCAGAAAAATTACAAATTCCTTTACATATCGTATTCACTATGCCTTGGACATCTACA